TAGTAAACTGGAAAGATATAGGAAACACTTATAAGAGCCAAAAACACATGTAATGCTATCTTTGAAACCTTACTATGCAAGAAACACGACGCTAGAGAAGAAAAGTAAACGAGATAATTGCAAAAGGTGCTGAAAAAATTCTTTTTATCTTAAAAAAAATAAATGTTTAGTTATATTCATTATAATAAGCTTGTCTGGTTTGTATAGTAATAATAAATTTTGAAAATGGCTTAAAATTTAATGGATATTGCACAGTAGTTGAAGCAAAGCTCGTGTAACAATTTCTTACGTCAATTTTAGATATTAATTTTTATTAAAGAAACAAACAGAAAATCATAAAAATAAACATTAAGATAGCTCAGAACAATGTAGAAAAGTATTTAAGAACCGAATACACGTGTGTACAATGACTGACATATAGCTAAGGTGGTGAAAGTATTTATCATCTTAACAAGATGAGGGTTTCACAAAGAAGACAAACGCATTTTTTCTTAACATCTTATTTTATTTATATATAATTAAAATTAAAATGTTCAATGTTATTTATTTATTAATAAGTTCAAAAGTCTTTTATTCACCGAAATAAAACAAGAAAAGAAAACGTTTAAATGTTTCGGGAATTTTATAGTTTTTCAGACATTGCATCGAGATTTTAATTCACTAGTTTTCTTCTTTCAAGTCAACTTAGTATGAAGATTTTGTGCAGTTCGTTAACCCCCCTTTATACACGTAGTATGCTAAGAAAAGCCTCTCGGGACTCCTTCTAAGTTTAGAGATTAAGACTAGTGACCTATCATTATCCTGTAATTAATCAAGGTTTACTTTACTCTCACTTGCTGATATCAACACTTGCCAATTATTACTTCTTAGCAGTTGTTACACACGTTAGAAGTTATATACTACTAAATACAAGGATTACTTTTTCTGTTCTGTGATTGTTTTTATTCAGGATAAAGTTCTGACGATTTAATATCTAATATTTTTTTTTTTAAATAAAAATGTGTCTTAAAATGCAAAATAATAATAATAACTGTATATAAAATTATAATAAATATTAACTAATAGTTTTTTAATATTCTAATATTGAGGTAATATGGCATTTTGATTAAAAACAATTCATGATGATAATATAGAATTTAAAGTGAAATTTCCATAAATAAATTCTGTTATTTATGCATATTTTACTTACAAATTAAGTTAAAAGATTTTCTAAACAGATAACTTTATGTATAATTTACGAACAGTAATGTTAAACACTAACATTGAGATGTATTATCTATGATAATAGAAAAGATTACTGTTAAGATTTTCGCACAGAATCACTATAAATATCTCAAACTAATGAATTAATAAATTAAAAAAACGCTTATAATCTATAAATATTGTATATTTTAAATCTGATGATGCTAAAGTTAAAAATCTAAAAGTTATTTTCGAGTCAATTTAAAAATAAGCAAGCCAGTCACATATCAATTCATTTGCTAGAATTAATTTAAAATACAAACTTTAAAATATCTATACAAAGTGGCCAAAAGTCAGTTAACCATATTTTGTTTACCATAGGCCTATAAATAGTAAGATTAGAACAACACGCTTTATTTTGCGAAATTGATGGTAATATTATAATTAAGGAATTGATTAATTGCAATTTACTCTCTTAAACGGTTAACTGATTTTTGGGCTGCCCTATATTTATTTGTTTAAGAGCACGATCAAGACATGACAGGACTTCAGCTAGTAATAAATACGGGGCCCGAACTTTTCTTAATTCATAAAATATATGAAAAAAAATAATCAATAAAAAGTAAATTTTCAATACTTCTTTATAAAATTTATATCACTCTCGTATCTTTTGCATAAAAGATTAAATTTTTGGAGGGCCCTTCTATGTTTTGGTGCGTTTTAAATGTTTCTGCAGGCCCTTTTTATACTCAATTAACAGAAAAATTCAAAATGTATAACTTTTGTAGGTGTTCTTTCTTATCTTCTTTATCTTACATGCATAACTTTTAATTTGTGGATGTTAAAATATGTAAAAACACGATAACAGAGTTAATGTGCAGATAATAATAATAATACTATACTCAAGAGATTGTATAATATTAATTCTGGGGATAGAATCAATTATATAAATATCTAGAGATGAATCCATTCGACGGGGTTGATGACCGAAAGCAATTTCATATAATGAATATAACAAAAACACGAATTTATGTATATAAATATTCGCTATAAATCCAAGATAAATGGATATTTATGTGATGATTTTCTTCAGAAATTAATTAAATAATCCGTTTTCTAAGGTAAAAACAATATAATTAATCAGAACAATCCTTTATATATTAACTAATATTAAAACAAAATATGTAACTGAGATTAATCATAAATACATTGCACATTGATATATACAATGTGGAATGTCTGGATAAATTTGTCATATAATAATGACTTCTTTTGTGAATTTTTATGTAGAAAAATTTAATTAAATAATTATTATATAATAAATTTTTATAATTTAATA